CGCAACTACTAGCCCACGATAGAACAAGAATGTTTCATCAAATAGTGGTAAACACTGAGTCAGAGCCAGTGGATACCAATTCAAAAGATGCACTAATACAAAAAGAATCAGACCTTAGTCCAACTTGAAAGTCTGCAGTCCAAAGACAGAAAGCAAGATTGTTTTACACAGATGTTCCCTAAGTTTCTGAGACAGACCTGGTCATCCAGATAGGGCTTTTAAACTTGACGGCCATCACTGTGGTTTTGATAACTATGTGGACAGCTACTTTGCCTTTTGACAGGAAGGGAAATTAGTTATTAGGATCTGCAATATGTGATTATTTAATAAACTTCAATCAGCCCTTGACTAAAATCAGAAAGATGTACTATGTCTGTCTAGTATTTGGGGGGGGGAGGGGTTGTATTGTTTGGATAAACGACTGAACCACCCATCAAACCATTTTTGTACCATTTTTCCTGCCAGTAAGTAAAAATAGGTGGGGAAGTGCTCTGGAGCATGGGCAGAACACAATGTGGCACACTTGCATGTGGCTACAGTCAGTGACTGGCAGGAGGAGGCCTTCTAGAACAGAGAGGGATGTTTCCAGGCAGCCTAGTTCTGGCCCTACATTTTCCTCCAAATTAAATCCTCTACAGGAACTAAGTCTTGCTGTTACTACAGTGATTCATAGTACGGACTACAGGGAGGGGGAAATGGAGGTTGCATCCACTGGAGAATCCCTATCAGTGGCTTGTCTTACTCCCAAATGTGCTGTACTTTCCCTCCTGGTGGAAAAGCTGCTGGGAGGGGAGCTTGGGCAGAACCAATCAAACAAATACAGCCAACAAGCCTTATGCTCTTCCTGTTCTCATCTGTGGCCCTCTCTCTCATCCCCCCCCTGCTATACCCAGCAAATGTGGGAGGGGAATGGGTAAAAAAAAAATGCAGAAGGGGGGGGTAGGGAATCTGTCCCTTTTTAAAGTATCCTGCCCTGCCTCTGAAAAGGACCTCAGGATGCTGCACAAGGCTGCATCCCCTTCCTCCTTTAGCCTCACAACAAGCCCGCGAGGTAGGCAAAGTTGAGAGAGAGACTTGTCTCCAGTGTTCCCTCTAAGCTGAGTTAGTGTGAGCTAGCTCACAGTTTTTTAGCCTCCAGCTCACACATTTTTGTCTTCGCTCAGGAAGGATGGCTCCAGAGCAAGCTAGTTTATGCAGCAGCCGAATCGCTCGCTCACAACTTTAATGCCCAGTAGCTCACAAAGTAGACTTTTTGCTCACAAGACTCCACAGTTAGAGGGAACATTGCTTGTCTCAGATCACCCAACAAACTTTAGAACTCAATTTTTTTTTTTGCAAGTACAAGTCAATAAGGGGATGTACTAAAAGGAAGGGCAGGATTGCCCATTGGAAACAATGGGAGACACTTGAAGGCCCATTAGAAATAATAGGAGCCAGGAATGCTAACTGACTTGCATGGACTCCATTGAAATACATTACAGTACAAGTAGAACAGCAAGGAGAGATAAGGAGGCCTTCCTGAATGAACAATGTGAAGTAATAGGGGAAAACAATAGAATGGGAAGGATTAGAGATCTCTTCAAGAAAATCTGAGAAATCAAGGGAGCATTCCATGCAAAGCTGGCCATGATAAAGGACAAAAACAGTAGGGACCTAACAGAAGCAGAAACTGAAGTTCAAATACTTTGGCCACCAAATGAGAAGGGAGCACTCACTGGAGAAGACCCTGATGCTGGGAAAGATTGAAGGTCAAAGAAGATGGGGACGGCAAAGGATGAGATGGTTAGAAAGTGTCATAGATGCAATGAACATGAAATTGAGCAAACTATTTGGGCCCAGAGACCCTAATGGAAAAATCCATTCCGCATTTTTATTGCAACTCTACTTGCAATACTTACTCTATTGCAATACTTACTCTATTGCAACTCTTTCTTTCATATGGCTGGGGCCTGTCATTCCAGTCCCAGAGTAGTCCATTTGGGCCCAGAGACCCTAATGGAAAAATCCATTCCGCATTTTTATTGCAACTCTACTTGTCCTTTAATGTATTTCAAAGGAGCCCCTGCAAGTCAATTGGCCTTCCTGCCTCCCATTATTTCCAGTGGGCCTTCAAACGTCTCCCATGGTTTCCAATGGGCAATCCTGCCCTTCCTTTTAGTACACCCCGTCAATAATAAGATCACATTTCGTTCCATGCGGCTGGCGAAGGGTCCACTGTTTCCCAAAACAGCTTACTGAAACGAGCCAAAAAAATAATAATAATAAATCCCACACCACCCCCCAAAGGTCAATTTCGGTTTCCGGGCAACTTCAAAAGAATCTATTCTTCGGTGCTTTTAGTACATCCTTTTAGTACATCCCGTCAATAATAAGATCACATTTCGTTTCATGTGGCTGGCGAAGGGTCCACTGTTTCTCAAAACAACTTACTGAAAGCAAACAAAAAAAAAATCCCACACCACCACCCAAAGGTCAATTTCGGTTTCCGGGCAACCAGGAAGGTGCACGAGAAGGGGCGGGGGGAGAGGACGTCGACGCGACGCGACGGGAGCGGGTCCCGATGCCGTCCGCTGGCGGCGTTCCCCCGTTCGCGAGGGAGTGGACGGCCGAAGGG